AATGATGAAAATCTCCAAGAGAAAAAAAATGGAAAGGAGATTTTAACCTTATTCTTAAGAAACTCTGGATTTGTAGACAATGCTTCCACAAGATAACTCCTGTCCTGTTCGTTATGTGTGTGGTCAGTTTGTGCAATATCAATATTGATATACTTAGAGAAAACAAGAAAAGCGAGATTATTTAGAAGCGCAAATCATGTTATCCCAATTGGAACAGTATCACATGGCTTACCTTAACCCATAGCAAAGAACAGTCGAAGTTTGTGAGGAACCATTTGTGTGCATTCATATTGAATGAATCAGCTTTTTCCACTCCATCAAGATGATGTCGATACTCTGGGCATATACAAGCACTTCCAGCATATGCAGCATCAATGTGGAACCACATGTCATGGCCCTAACAAAAATTATAAACAGAAATAATTAGTGAAAGTACATTCATGAATAACAATATGTACAATTTGCACAAGTCATATACAAAAACAAGGTTGCTAATAACAGTGGGGGTGCAACCAACATCCCAAAAACATGCTCCAGAAAAATCCCAGACATAGGACAGTATTGGTTCCCACTAGAGAGCTGATAAATACCTAGTTTTAGCTGTACCGCAAATTTAGATTGATTGGGATTAACATATGGACAAAAAAATAAAAAATCAATTTACAAGGACTATTTTTCAAGTTCTGGTCCCATATAGTTTTTTTGGGAAACACTGTTAACCTACCAGCTATCAGTTACTACCCATCAATGCACAGACTTGTTCCTCAAAAGTGGACATAACAAGGTTTCGAACTAGCACCAACACAACTGTGTTCTATTCCTGCCTGGCAGAAGATCGTCAATTTTTTGGAAAATACTTATAGAAAATATAGCAAGAGAAAGTATCAAATAAAGACTGATTATATTACTTCATTATACAAATATAATTTCCCAATTATCACAACCAATGGGCCTAAACACCTGTGCTATGTTTCCTAGTTCAGGCAAGGGGTCCACGGCCGATGAAGATGTTGTGCCTACCTGAAACAAATAAGAGCTTTCCTTAGAAAGTAAATAAGGAGCAAAAAATATGTGTTACCAGATAAAAAGATAAGCTTATTACACATCGGAGAACACCATTCCAGTTTTTTTTTTTGTAACATTCATCATGTAATCATGTTACAAAGAGTGGTTAAAGATAAGGATCCCAGTTACCCAGGGGATAAGTATCTTAGTTACCTTTAGCAAGTAGGGATTTTACTAATCACTTGCATATAATTAGTTTCCTGGTACACAAGTTGGTAGTTCCTTAATTTTGTGGTAAAGCCAGCTATATAATGCTTTGGCTGTCTATCTAACAAATGTCAGCAAGAACCCCAAATATATATCTTCCTATTATTCTGTTACAGTGTTATGCAGTTACCTATTCTATAACCTCTGCTCTGGAGCGCCATGGCTAGAGTGATAGCCCCCGTCAAGCAATCCGGCAATTTTCAATCACATTTAAGGTTCATACTAGTTTAGTATCGGAGCCTGGTGATCTTCGCCAGCGAGCATGATCCTGGAAGGATTCGTTGAGAACCTCCACATCAAAACGAGGGCTTCACCTTCGGGGGCAAGGGGGGGCCTTCCAAACACGGTGCTCTCTGCCCTCCCGTCCTACGCCATGGCTGCCCTGCAAGGCTGCAACTTCCGAAAGGGATGCCTGCTGCGCTATCAGTAGTTCTTCTGGGCCAACACCGACGTGGTCACCGGCACCCAATGCAAAAGCGCATGGTCGATTGTATTCAGAAATAGAATAGCATTAATCGCCCCTCCCTCCCTCCCTCCCGCGTCGCCCCCCGCGAGGCGATCGGGGGGAAACCCTAGATCGTCGCCGGCCCTCCCCTCCCCCCCTTCGTCCTCCTCCCTCGCCGCCGCCTGAGGGCGCGACCGGACGAAGCCCAGCCGTTGCCGGCGGCGGCAGGGCCTCTTGGTCTTCCCGCTCGCGTTGGGCCGGCGTGGGCCGGAGCGTGTCGCGGTGCTGGGCGTCACGGCGGAGCAGCGGGCGGACGCGGCGTCCCTGCGTCTCCGCTGCTGCGCAACGGGCAGCTTGGCGGTCGAGCGCGCCTGGGGCTCAGAGGTGGCTGCTGCGCCGGCGCAGGCAGCGCAGGCTGCGGGCGTCCGCCCTGCCATGGCTCCGGCTGGTGGTGGTGGAGGCGCAGCAGAGGCGGGCTGGCCGGAATCCGACTGGTTCCGGCAGTTGGACGGCGGCGAGCGGCGCGGGTTGACTCCCCGGTGAGCATCCTTGGCGCTTGGCGGTGGTGGATGTGGTGTCCCTTGCTGGTGAACAGGTGGTCGTCGGTGGCCTCGCGCGGATCTGCACCGGCGCCGTGGTGGGGCGACACAGGGGGTGTCTGGTGGGAAGGTTGGCTGGAGCCTGGAGGGATGGGAGGCGCCGATGAAGTCGGGGCATCCGTCGCTCGCACAGGGGTGTGCCGGTCCGGACGCGTCCGCTCCCCCGAGGCGGGGCGTCTACTGTTGTTCAATTGGTTTGGGGCTGCCAATTGGACCAAAGCCAAGGCCTTTGGTTGGTCCCGGGGGTGTTTGGATGCAGGGTGGCGGCCCTGGCGGCGGGAGACGCAGCGTTTGTGGGCGGAGCGAGCGTCTCAGGTGCGGGCGGGCAGCCATGACCATGCGGGTGGCATGGGTGCTGGTGGTCGGCAAAGCTTCGGTGCAATGGCGGGGGGTGAGCCGGGGTGTATTACTTGCCCAGTTTGCACTGGTCGACGGCGGCGGCATCCGCGGACGTCGTTCCCTTCCTGAAGGCCCCGTCGTGGTTGTTCCCTCCCCATCGCGTTGCTCCGAGTGAAAACTTGATCTTCGGGATCGGACAGTGGCGTCGCTCTGTAGTCGTTTTCCTTCTTGGAGGCATCGTCTTGGAGTCCATGCTCCGTCGTGGTCTGTCTCACCCCTCCTCGGTAGCCATCTGGGCTTGGTGGTGTTGGGGTGATGTGGCGGTGCCCGGCACCTGTGTATCTTGCCTTGGGTGCGTGTATCGTGTGTGGTGGTGGTGTGCGTTTTTATCGGTTTGTCTGATGCTCAGTGCTTTATATATAAAGCGGGGCGAAAGTCTTGTTCGGTAAAGCGCATGGTCGGAGATTTGCCTCCCGCATGTGTTGGGAATATGCCCTATAGGCAATAATAAATGTTATTATTTATTTCCACATTTGTAATTAATATTTATTTCTGTGCTATAATTGCCATGGTTTTTGAATGTGAGATTTAGAAGAAAACTCATAAGCATGTGTGGAAACATAAACACAAAATAGGTTCCTAGTCTCGCCTCTAAGACTAGATCATGTGTTGCATGATAATCCCGTTTTCTTGATCATACGTCATCGTTAAAGTAACCAGTACATATGCAAATAGAAGCCTATGTAAAGGGGAAACTACACAGCTAACAAATACACTGGACACATACCACACCAGGAAGTGGTGTTGGAATTATGTAATGTAAACAAACTCGCACCACTGCCTTTAGGCCTTTGTTCAGTTACACCCCTTCTCAAAGGGATTGGAGGGGATTTAAGGGGATTTTGACTTGTACAAGATTTAATCCCCCTCAATCCCTACCAACACTCTCCAATTCCCCGTCAACCGAACAAGGCCTTAAGAGTATCCGACTGGGAATAAAGAGTATTTTATTGTCAGCTTAGATTTGCCATTGTATGGTTTACCGAAATAGGCTTGCGCCCCGCTATATTAATATAGCAACCACCCGATACAGCCAGAAGTTCGACGCTGGGGCAAACAGCACAATCATGCCCAAAAGGAAAACAAGCGAAAAGCAAGAGAAAGAAATGCAGGCAGCGCCGGAAGAACGAAAGCTGAAGCATCCCGCAACCGCTGCGCCCACCGGAAACATCCACCATGCTCCAATGCCATCGAGTCACCGTGAACCAAGCAACACCTTCAAGAAGGACTGCGACGACGACAACGCTGCTGCCCGGACGAATCCTAGGATTTCTCCCGGTACATGGAGGGAAGCAGGCGAGAGGTACTCCTGACGCCCTTCAAGAAGGTTGATGGCGCCCGCAAGCGTCACCGCGTTGGTGCCGGGCGGACCCGAGAGGGATTTCGCCCTACCCCTCATACCCACAACCCAGGACCAACCGACGGCTCCACCACGCCAACCGCCCACCAACCTGCGCCACCACAGTCACAAGGACACCACCGTCGTCTCTCCACTGCAGACGCTGCGAGGCCGGCCAAACCAAACGAGACCACCGCCGATAGGGACTGGGAGCACCACAGCCACGTGGGAGGGGACAACCTCCACTGGCACAAGCCGTAGCAGACCGGACGCAGGCGCGGGAGCACGCCGGACCCCCTGCCCAGCCGGGCCCAGATCGGGCACGTTAAGCTCCTGCTGTCGCGCTACAGCCGACGTAGTGCAGAGCCACCGATCCCAACGACCGCATCCCGCCAGCCCAGCCGGAGGAGACCCGCCGGAGGCCAGACCAACCTGCCCTGACCCAGATCGGGCCCAAAAGGGCCTAGATCTGGGCCTGCAGGGCTCCACCGGCCAGTCCCCGCCGCCAGCCGCCACCGCTGCCAAAGGGCCGCGCCACCACCGAATCTGCGCCCGATCAACACCGGAGCGCCGCCCGCCGAGGTGCACCGTCGCCGGAAACCGCCGCCCGAGCCGGGG